AAGAGTGCAAGTGTGGATGTCACTTCGCACTTCGAAGCTGGGTAAGGTACTTTCCAGTACATTTCTAGAGCTTCCCTTTGCTACTGCTTGGCATCCAGCCATGGATATAACAACCCGCAGAGGCCTGAGACCACTGAGAAACAGAAGGAAGCTACGGTATTGATCGTTTTTGTGTCCCTGTCTTTACTCCTGACAGGTTGTACCAGTTGTCTAAAGCTGGAAAACTGTGCGTCCCAGCCATGAACGTCAACGACTCTGTCACCAAACAGAAGTTTGACAACCTCTACTGCTGCAGAGAATCCATCCTGGATGGGTATGTGTGGCTGCTCCCACCGAGCACTCTCTGCCTTGAAGGCTTGTGTGTGTTTGATTGGACGCAGGGCTGCGAACATTTTAAACCAGTGGTTCTCAACCTTTTTCAGGCTCGGGCGTCCCTTGGAAAATACCAGCTCTTAGCTTTATCTCTTGTTTTTTTGACCATGGAAAAATAATCGAAAATTTCTTCTGTTGCCAAGACCTCAGAAAGGCCACAACAGGGGACGGCGTTGTAGATTCCTGTTTGAAATGTCGTGTGAATCAAGTGCAGGTGTTTGCACACCTAACAGTGCTAATATTGCATGGCACCCTTGAAAGCATCTCACAGCGCACGTGGGTGCTACCACAGCAGCCTGGGTGAGAATCACTGTGTTAAATATCGGTTTCTTCTGGAGGAACCTTACTAGACCAGACCCTTTATCCGTCTTGTCTGTCATCCCACGTCCTTGGTAGCTACAAACCTGGTACTTCAGAGAAGCTGGAATTCCCCAACATGGCACTGAACCTGGGCCTGGGTGCAAACACGTTGTGTCCATACCAGCTCTCGGGTACGGCGTTATACATCCAGCCACAGCAGTAGACTGACTTCCTAGGTCTGAATCTTTTGCTTGTTCATTTTCTTTCCTTGGCCTGAGGAGGGTTTGGTTCTAATCCAGCCACAGACTCCTTGCGTGACCTTGGCAGGTTGCTTAATCTCGGTGCTCTCTGTCTGCCCTCTGCAAAAGGGGTGGTATTTCTGCCTTCCGCAGCATGTTGACACTAGATTGTATCCGAGCACATAGCAAACTGTAGCGGTCGGGGCCATGAGCGTCACGATAAAGATACTCTTCCAAGGTTCTTTAATGCTTTTGAAGTAGGTTTATAGAGCTGAATTAGGAGCCGTGCATCTGTTCCCGTAGCGTGTCACTGCATGGAGGTGTGTTCACTCCTCATGTGCACACTCAGACCCCTTTGACTAGATGTGTCTGGAGCTGCGCTTGAACCTGTTATCTCCTCGTGCTCCCTGCCGAGAGCATGCAGGGCGAAGCAGCCACAAATCCCCCTTGGTCCTCTTACAGCCCCTGTGCCAGTAAGAGAGCCCTGACTGGTTCCAGTTGGCCACAGCATTTATCTGAGCCAAACAGCTGGTTTATGAAGAAATTCTTCACTTGTTTTCTCCAATTCCTTCTTTCTGTTTCTTCTGAGCATTTCAAACAAAGCAAAAGGAACAGAAGAGGCCATGGGATCTCCATCATTGGAAGTTTTAAAGACCCGGTTAGACAGAGCCTTGCCTGGGATGACGTAGTTGGGACTGGTCCTGCTTTGAGCACTTTGCAGGGGAGCTTGTCTAATCCGTGGTCTGTTGTCTCTGCACCAAGCGCCTCACCATTGTAATGGCACACAGGAGAAAAAGGGTATGTGTTTCTGTCCATACTTAGACAGCTGGCTATCAGGAGGAGATCTTACCAAGCAAATCTGGCAAAACCTCAGCTATGTGTTTGCCCATCTAGGCTTCCTGATACACTGAGATGGCGTACTTGGTTCCAGGATGGGTAGTAGGTGACACAGGAGCTAGGACAGGCATGATGACAGCCAAGGCATGCCTGCCTTAGGACAGGTTCCTCTCAATCCAGTTCCTGTTACGTGGGTAGACTGCAGTCCTGGGCATGCTAGTAGACTTGCTGCATGTTATTAGGCTGTGCACGCAGTTCAGCTCTCCAGACCTCCTTCGAGGCCCTAGAAACTCAGGATCCATCCACTCACCCAGGGAACATCAACTGAGCATGTTGGTTTTAATCCCGGGTCATGGTGGATGCACCCTAACACCGTCCAGCCAGGAGTACCGAGACTACGGAGTGCCCCGGGGTGAAAAGTACTGAGGTTGAAACATTCCCAGCTCCCCTTCGATTGGATCGAGACCCAGCACTGTCCAAACATCACCCCTCCAGCCCCAGCCTTGTCTACCAACCCTGAGATCAACCTGTACAACCTGATCAAATACATTTTCCAGCTTAAACTTGTGTAAACCATTCATGTATCCGTTATGGCTCCCCTGAGGCCTACACTGGTTGCTGCCTTAGCAGAGTCTGTATGCGAGCAGTACGTGTAGTCAGCTGAGTGCTTTTCATTGCAAAGAATAAGCAGTGGCCCAGGGCATCGTGCTGTGCTACAAGCTGGTGGATACTCTTCAACCTCCTATCCATCAAGGCTCCTTCTGAGCTCTGTTTGGTCTGTTCAAAGCCAGAGGATGCTGCTTGCTGGTCTCCTACAGGGGATCCTCACTGATGCCCATTTGAAGAGGGAATGGTTACTTCAGCTCTGGTCCTTCAAAATGACGTGGTCCTTGTGGAACCAGGGTGGACCCACCCTCCCTCCCTGCTTCGGACGTCCTCAGCTCCCCGTGTGAGCGTCAGTAGCTGAAGGAAGGTGACAGCCCAGCTGCCCACTACACGCTCGCACAGAGTTGGTGCTCAAGGTTTCAGGCTTGTGTGTCCGAGGTACAAGTTCATGTACGGCAGCTTGTACACGAACTGCAACATCCCTAAGAACTGTGCTGGCTGTGGGGTCAATCACCCTGGTTTACTTGCACGTGCAGGCATATGCAGGCCTTAGCCCAGGGTTGGGGCGCCACTGAGCTGGGCAACGTACCCCCACGGGAAGACAGTCCCTGCTGCCAGGGGTCTGAAGAATTGTTTCCTAATACCAGAAATAACTCGCGGTGTGCATGGAGTCCGTGTTAGCTCTCCGTGCCTACGGGCCACAAGGAAACTCTGCGCTGTGTTGGCTGCAGCTACATCGGGATGCAGGCCATACAGTTCTGGCTCTGCCCTCTCATATCGGGCGGTGCCAAGGGGCCATTAAATCCTCCGGGGCTTCTCTCTGAATTCAGTGGAAAATGTAAGAGCACTTCACCTTCCCCACACTGCTAACCCATTTACACAGGCCAAAAATAGACTGCAATGTAGGACGCTCTTACGGAGATGCCAAGAGGAGAGAGACTGGAAGGAAGAGTTTTATTTGTGCAGAGCAGCCAGGTTGTATCAGGAAGCTGCTCTTCGTCCGTCCCTTTGGCGGCAGTCTCCTCTGTGCAAAGCAAGGCTGGTCCCAAGAGTCAGAAGATATTTTCTGGGGGTGCTACGTAGGCAGCTCTCCTTCATCCCAGCCCTGTGCTGGGGCTGGCTGTACCCAGTGCTGCCATAGGGAAAGCTGGCCCTGGAGGGACTCGAGGCAAGCTCTCTATGACCTCCTAGAAGGCCAGTGGGCCAAAGCTTGCCCTTGGAGGTGCATATATAATTCAATAGGATTTTCATCTAAATGGGCTATCAGACTTAAAGTAGGAAAATGCAAAATAAATCTCATGAGGTTCAACGAGGACAAGTGCAAAGTCCTGCACTTAGGACGGAGCAATCCCCTGCACCGGTGCAGGCTGGGGGTGACAGGCTGGGCAGCAGCTCTGCAGAAAAGGACCTGGGGGTGACAGGACAAGAAGCTGAACAGGAGCCAGCAGTGTGCCTTGGTGCCAAGAAAGCTAACGGCACCCTGCGCTGCATTGGTAGGAGCGCTGCCAGCAGTGATTCTTCCTCTCTATTTGGCATTGGTGAGGCCACATCTGGAGTCCTGTGTCCAGTTGTGGGCCCCCCGCTACAGGAAGGATGTGGACAAGTTGGAGAGAGTCCAGCTGAGGGCGGTGAAAATGGTTGTGGAGCTGGGGGACAGGACTGGTGAGGAGAGGCTACAGGAACTGGGCTGATTTAGCCTGCAGAAGAGAAGACTAAGGAGGTTGAATAGCCGCCTTCAGCTCCCTGCAGGGGGGCTGCAAAGAGGATGGAGCTGGACTGTTCTCGGTGGGGGCAGATGGCAGAACAAGGAGCAACGGGCTAAGGTTGCAGCAAGGGAAGCTGAGGTTGGATATTAGGAAGGATTTTCTCACTAGGAGGGTGGGGAAGCACTGGTCCCTAGAGCAGTGGTTCTCAGCCTTTTTTCATACTGGGCACCATTTGCCAAGATCGATGGCTTGTCCCATTCCACGCCCCCTGGCCCTGCTGGCTCCCGATGCACAGTCCCCTGCTCACCCCCGACTCGCGGCCCCCTGCCTCCCCCAGCCCTACCAGAGGGAGCTCCCACCTGCCTCCGTCCCGCTTGGCCCACAACATGAGCAGCAAATGCTGCTCCCGGCCCACCCACCAAGCAGCGAGTGCAGGTCCCGGTGTGTGTCAGCACTGGCCCTGTGCCGCCAGCCCAGGCACCCAGCTTCCCACTGCGAAGGACCGTCTCCACCCGCTTCCACCACTGACGGTCCAGGAGCGTTTCCCCTCCCCGCTCCCCCTGCCCTGCCACAGCCCCACGCCCGGCCACTCTTCCTCAGTGCCAGACACACGCACGTTCCCCCCCCACACACCCCCAGATCTCCAGACAGTATGCTGGCCACGTGTGGCTGCATGCAGAGATGCACGTGCGCCCGCTACCTCCAATCGTCCCAAGCAGCCAGCCTGCAAGGGGAAACCCGTGCTTTTGCACATTTTTCTGGGACTTGCTCATGACCCTTTCACATACACTTGCAACCCACTTTTGGGTCTCGGCCCACCGGTTGAGAAACACGGCCTAGAGAAGTGGTGGAGTCTCCATCCTTGGAGGTTTTTAAGGCCTGGCTTGACAAAGCCTTGGCTGGGATGATGTAGCTGGGGCTGGTCCTGCTTGGAGCAGGAGGTTGGACTAGATGTGACCTCCTGAGAGCCCTTCAACCCTCATTTTCTATGACTCTGTGAAAACCTGAGGTTCTTCCCCTGCGTCCTTAGAGCATGAGCAGCTGACTTGGTCCCACCAGATGGAGTGATGTCTGTGGGGATAGAGGGGATTTCACAACAGCTAAGCCCCCAAATCCAGCCTGTCAGCAGCACTCACTGGTTGCCACCATCTCTTGATACTTGTCTAAAATCTGTGGGTTGTTTTAATCTTCTTTTTTTCTTAGCCTTAAAAGGACGACAGACATGATGTTTGGAGGAAAACAAGTGGTGGTGTGCGGCTACGGAGAGGTGAGGCTTTAATATTTCATCACTGAATACCATTTGCTAGCTGCTGCTGCTTGTGGATGCAAAATGAATTTCCCTGGGCTTGGCTCTGTCTGAGGGCACTTCATGTCCCCTGGGCTCCTCCCTGCTCTTGCTCGTATCTGCAACCTTTCAGACGGGAGCGGCCCTATTAGACCAAATAGGATTTTTAACCTACAAATTCCTGTGCATTTTTTCCTTGTACCAGTGGATCTTAAAAGTAAGGTCTGATGTAAATGTAGCCATACAACAGGGCGTATTAAAATACAATTAGGGCAAATCAGTTGCCTTATTTGCCTGCGTACAGTGCGCCTCAGAATTCAGATGAACCCCCAAGTTTTGAAAGAGGCGTGTTGTACATGACAATATGGTAATCCCTCTTCAGTTGGATCTGCCAGTGTTTCTTCTTCTTCCCCGATGTAAAGAAACTTCTCTTCCCAGGGCTTGGCTTGTGGACTAGTTCCAGTCGGGTCTGCACTCGTGCACTGGGAGCTGGATGGAGAACCCCCAGCTCGTTGCACATGAGTCCCTGAGCAAACATCAGGTGGCTCGACTGAGGTATAAGAATCGATCGCACACGGTGAACGCCTGTTCCACCAAGCTCCAGGAACGAGCGCGCAGGCAAACACGTTAGGGAAGTCCTTGGCCAGTTAGCCGAGCTCGTGAATTCCCCTATCGCATTCGAGTGCACGGAGGGTCACGGTAACGCCAAGAGATTGAAACGTTACTGCAGACCTGCTCAAACAGAGGAAAGGTTGTAGGCTTCCTCTGGGATACGTGTAATTATCTGTTGGTGCTTTCTAGGGGTGGCAGGTGTGAAACAAAGCAACCGGGCAGCGGTAAGATGGATTCTTTCCCAAAGCGTTTGGCTGTTAAGGCAGAGGCCAGAGCAGTTCCCTGAAGCCTGCACCCAGGATTTTCATGCAGCCGGAAAGGCTAGGTCTGGATTCAGCTGGAAAAGGGGGTTTTGCAGGGAAACCGCTCCGGACTTCCAGTGACAGTTGTTCCGCGAGCTTACGGTGATGCTCCCAGCAGCATGTTGTGGCTTGGCTGACGTGAAGTAAGGAGAAAGGGTTTGACCTTGCCTTTGCAGAAAGGGGCTCCGTGCTAGCGTTGCTGTACCTGGCCTGGAAACTTAGAGCCTCCTGGGTGCCTACGGAGCCGCCAGCATCTCACCCGCTCCCTCCCTGCTGTTCTCTCTCTGCAGGTTGGAAAGGGCTGCTGCGCGGCTTTGAAGGCTATGGGCTCCATAGTGTACGTGACCGAGATCGATCCAATCTGTGCCCTGCAGGCCTGGTAAGAGGACGTGCCCACGGCCTGGGTCCTGCTGTGGCTTGTTCTCTGTGGCAGGGAGAGTGAGGGCACAGTCCCTCTACAGCAGGTCCGTGGACCAGATCCGATGCATGGACTGACCCCGTGCACTGGGTCTGGGGCTGCTCGCTGGCCCAGTCCGGCATGTAGGGCTGTGTGGTTCCCCAGGGGTCCAGAAGTTTTGCAGGAGAGGGGTCTTCTTTCCTAGGGAGCTGCCTGCTAAGCTGTCTGCTGCCAGGTCAGCTCCACTGCTCCAGCTAGAGGAAGCAGTAAGCAGTTCAAAGGTGTCGTGGTGCCACTGGCAGGATAAAAGACTCATCCGTCCCGTACCATCCCAGCCGGGCTCCCATCTTCTGGGCTCTAGTCATGCCTTGCAGATGCCAGCATCACCCCTGAGGCTCAGCGCATGTTGCCGTCTCCTCCCATGTGCATGCCGCAGTGATCTCTGGCTTGGATTCTTCCATAGGAAACACAGCTGGCTGCAGCGATGCTGTTTGCACTTGTGCCGTAGGGGTACCAAGCCTGGGGAGTCGCTTTGCAAAGTGCTGGAAGCTGTTACAGCCTTTAATAAACACACAGCCCCTTCCCTTCTCATGACACACGTGGAGCACAGTTACGGTCAGAAAAGGGCTAACGGAGGCTGCTTAATTAGCAGATCTGATTTGCTTCTCCTTGATACTGTCTACTTGGACCCAAACACGGGTGTCGATCAGCTGCAGGGGACCGAGCTGGGCTCTGCTCTGCCTCGTGTGTGAACAAAATTGTTGCTTCAATCATTTGGTTGTTTCACCCCAGCGGCGCACTCGGTGCTGCACAAGTGAGGCCAGAAACCCCAGGGAGAAAACTTGCATCCAATTCAGCTCATGAACGTAACAGGAGTAAGATGGCAGGAGGGATTTGAATTTGGGGATGGCCTTGCAAGCTGAGATTAATAGGTCAGCCCAGAAAATCTCTGAGCCTGGAGGTTTCAAGGCAGAGGGCAAGTTTAGGCTGGGATCATGGAGAAGCAGGGTTGGGAGAGGGCACCAGAGGTCACATCGAGTCCCACCCCCGCCTGAAGCAGGATCATCCCTATCCACGCCATCCCCAGGCAAATCCATAATTGAACCTCTTAGTAAAACTACCATCGACCTCGACACAAGACAGACATCACACCTGAACCAGACACAGGTGAAGCAGGGGAACCACGGCAGCCAATTTAAAAGGTGGTTAAAATGCACTCAAGAGATCCCAGGTAGAGGTCCATCCCCCTGCTACAAAGGAAGGCAAAAGCCCCTGTAGCAAGGGGCTTGCATCTTTGGATCCCCAAAGAAACCAGCTTTCTTTCCAGCCCTGCTGGCGCCCCCAGTACCCATTGGTGTCTGTGAGAGTTGTTGGGTGCTCAGCCCCTTTGTAAAACAAACCTGCCTACTTAGTGCCTCAGAGCAACAGTTCCTTGGTCGCCGGGCACTTGAGCTCCTCTGAGGTAGCAACTCGAGCCGCCCCTGCTTTTGGGGTAGTGCAGATCCTTCGGGAAGCCCCGTCTCTGGCTCCAGAGGGCTCGCGCTAACAGCTGGGGTCCCCTGGGGATCCTCCAGACCTGGTCTATTCCTGTCCATCCTCACACACGGTATATTTTTTTTTTCCTCCCAGCATGGACGGGTTCCGGCTCGTCAAGCTTAACGAGGTCATCAGACAAGTCGACATTGTCATCACCTGTACAGGTGCGTGGGTCACAGGGCAGGGGGGGGCTCGCTGCGAGGTGAAGGGCACCTGAGTGGCAGGTCAAGCACGTCCAAAAAGAGCGGGCAGAGAAGATGCAAACCTGGCTGCTCGGAGCACGCGTGTCCAGTTGCTAACCCTCAGTAGCCAGGGGCTGCCCCCGAGCTAGCACACACCTTCCTGTTAGCTTCTCTCCTGAAACCACAGGCTCCTGGCCGCTGTAGGGTTGGCTGTGCATGTGACAGGCCTGTAATATCCCTAGTGTGTTAGCCCTTGTCCCTACACGCACCTCACACCCACCCCCAGCATAACTACTGCAGCAGGAGGCCACACGAGTCCCAGCCCTATCCCAAAAGCGCCCCTGTGGGCACATGGGCTCAGGGAGCTGTACGGAGAGAGACCAAGGGAAGCAAACGGGGCAGGCAGGGCTGCGCTTCGGGCGAGGGAGAGCGGGCAGCTGTGAGCACCGTTCTTGGCGCTCGGGAGCATTTTGCTTGTCGCTGTCTGATAATAACGTTACTCCTGCGCTCCATCGCGGTCCGCGTTGGTCTTTAGCACCACAACCTTCTGTGTTGAAAGGCAACAAGAACGTGGTGACAAGAGAACACCTCGACCGAATGAAGAACAGCTGCATTGTGTGTAACATGGGGCACTCCAACACCGAAATCGACGTGGTAAAGACCGGGGGTCCCTCCAGGGCGGGGGGGTGGGGACGGGACTCCGGGGGTTCCCCTCTCCTGCCTCTCATTGCTGCAGCAACAAAAGGCTCAGAGATCAGTCGGTCACCTGTTGAGGTGCCTAACCGCTGCTCTGGGCATCCATAGGGGCGCCCATCATATTCTGCACTCCTGGCCCTACCAGGTGTTTTGTGCTGGCAGCGATGGATGGGCCTGAAGTTAATCACTGCTTTTACAGTCAGAAGAGTTCAAGCGCTGGCTGTTGCTAGAGCAGGGGTTGTGATAAATGAGCGAGCAGCTCCTCACGCACAATTCATGGTGGGTGGAAGGGGGCACCATGCGGTTTCCCTTTCCTGACGCATCGCCGGTTCTTTAAATGACGGGAGCCCCGTGTTCCAGGCCAGCCTGCGGACCCCCGAGCTGACTTGGGAGAGGGTGAGATCTCAAGTAGACCACGTCATCTGGCCAGACGGAAAGAGGATAGTGCTGCTGGCGGAGGTAAGCAGCACGTGAAGGTCAGGGGCCTTGTAGGTCACTTCTGTAACCCAGCCAGGGAGCCTCAGAGCCTGTGCTGCGTGGGCTGGACGGTCTCTTGGGCGAGGAGGATTTGGGACACCCGCATCCCTGCGGTGTCTGCCCAAACTAGACGTTCCCCTCACAGCCTCTCCCCCGCAGCAGTTCCTCCCCTGGCTTTCCTCAGCATAAACCTTCCTCAGCTGAGCTACGAACAGTGACTGAGAGGTCAGCTGAGGACTGCTGAGAAGATGAGCGATGCAGACATGGCTTCCCTGGGGCTGTGACCTGTCGCCTGAGGAAGCCAGCTCTTGGCAGGCATTTCCAAGGGCTTCCCAACAGAAGCAGGAGGCAGCACCCCCGTGCAGGTCCACCTGCCTCCCCACATCTGTTCCACCCCAGCTTGTGAGCCCTGGCGAGGGCCGGACTGAAGCTGGGCCCGGCTGGTCAACGCTCGGATCAGGGGAAATCTTTTGGCAGCGACACGTGGCTGTTGGTGACTCGCCAGGGGGAACTCTCTGGGCGACTGAACCCGTGGCCAGTACGGTGCTGGGGAGACACGGCTGCGGATGCGGGTTGCTGGCAGGTTTCACCAGGCTGCAAAGGCTAATCCCAGCTTCCTGGGTCGGGTCCAGTCGAGTTAACTACTCGTGCTCCCCTAGATCTCCCAGCAGGTCCCGTAGGGAACCTCCACGTCTGCGGTGCGTAGTTGTGCGCTGTCCGAGAGCTGCTGTGCTCCAAGCCAGACGGGGACACGTCACTGGTAGACTTGAATCGCCCCTGCGTCTCCTGCACGGATTTGGGAGGGCTCCGTGCCCCTCCAGCCCGAGACGCACGGCAAGGCCACGGTCTTATTCTGTCTTGCAGGGCCGTCTGCTGACCCTCAGCTGCTCCACCGTCCCCACCTTCGTGCTGTCCATCACTGCAACCACTCAGGTGAGCAGGGTCCAGGTGCAGGGGGCAGGAGCCTGGTTAGCGCCACGGCCTCTCCTTGATGCTGTCTGCTTGAACCAAAACAAGGGTGACTGAGCCCAATGTCTTCTCTCTGCAGGCTCTGGCATTGATAGAGCTGTACAACGCCCCAGAAGGGCGCTACAAGCAGGATGTCTACCTGCTGCCGAAGAAGATGGGTAAGGATGGACCCGGCACCTTGTTCTCCTGTCATGGAGGTGGAGCAGGGGTGGGAGACCTCAGTGTCTTGGGCATATTGCATTTGTCTCCTTTCTTCCTGCTGGGCTCTGTGTCTGGGGAATGAGAGCAGAGAGCTGAGTCAGCCCTCTTGGGCATCACCTTGAGCAAGGCTGTCAGTCCCGCTGCAAGCAGGCACCTCTTTTCAGGAGGTTTGCACGTCTCAGGGTCTGTAGAGAGGAGACCCCAAGCTCTTCCGTGCAGGAAGGTGGGCAGCAGTGCTGTAGCTCCAGGGTGGAGTCTTATCTCCACACGCCTGCCCAAGCCACAGCCCTCCAGGTCTGGCACTGCTTGATGAGACCTAAACGGATGAACAGAGGAGGAAACACTAAAGTGGCCGGGGGGGGCATGAAGACCCGGGAGAGCAGGCCCTGCACTCTGTACCGGGACAGGATTCCTCTTACAGGCAGGATGGGCCACAGCAGACCGTTGCATTTGGTTCGGGACTTTAGTCTGCAAAACCCTGTGTAGCGAGCATTTCCGTGAACTCCGTGCAGAAGGGCAGTGTTGAGGGGGGGACCCAGGGCCTCGCTCACTTCCCAGGCCTTGATCTCATTCCAGATGAGTATGTGGCGAGTCTGCACCTCCCAACGTTCGATGCGCACCTGACCGAGCTGACGGACGAGCAAGCGAAATACCTGGGGCTGAATAAGAACGGGCCTTTCAAACCAAACTACTACAGGTGCTGGCTTGGGGCAGCCCATTCCTCTCTGGGAGGTGGGGGAGGGGGCGATACAGCTGCCCACATCTGCGCGTGTGCGGGGATCAGCTCGAAGCTGTCTGCATGAGCAAGAACGTGCACGATTTAGGGTCCTGCCACACATTCAGACTAAAGCTGGATTGAAACCCGCTGTAAAGTTATTACACATTTTCAGCCACTAACTTTGTAGCTGATCAGCTCTCTTTATAGCCGGATGGATATTTTTATGGCATGCTCATCGTTACTCTGCACATATGACTGGTCTAAGTTTATGGCGCGATTCACCAGTTAATTGCATGATATATAATGTGTGGCAGGGGCCTAAGAGCCTGATCTCACCGATCCAGAGGGAGGGTATCGCTGGTGACCTGGTGCTTGCCATTTGGCCAGGTGGGGCTAGACTGACCCAGAAGGCCCCTTGCCCTCCTGTGTCCCAACATGCTGTGCGCGGTGGGGGTGCAGGACAGGGAGAGCTCTGCCTCAGCGCCTTGCCGAGACGAGGCCGCCTGGCATACCCGGTGGCAGCTGTCGTTGGAAAGCAGCAGAGCTCGCAGCGCGGCCGTCCGGCCAGCTCAGATGCCCAATTATTTTTCAAGCTCGACGAGCGCAGAACGGGCACCGAGGCCCATTCCTCCGGGGAAGAGTCATAGAGAAGTGGGGCTGAAAGGGAGCTCCAGGGATCATCTAGTCCCGAGGCAGGATCAGCCCTGTCCAAACCAGCCCGTATAAATCCGTCATCCAACACGACACTGTTAATCCAGACTCGATTGACGCAGTCAGCCCTGACACCACACAGACATCGCACCTGAGCCGCCACGGGTGGAGCAGGGAGACTGCAGCGAGCAGTGTCCTCTCCATGCAGCGTGCTCTCCGTCGCACGTGGGGGCAGATAGTCCTCCTGACGTGTTGTCCTCCTCTTTGTGCCTCTGAGCATCTACCCCAACTTGTTTAACACCCCCTCCCCATTTCTGCCAGTGGGCGCTGGCTTCCTCATAGCCTGCACAGAGTAGATGACAGATATTGGCAGCGCAGCGCGGTAGGAGTCCTCTGCTCGTCCCTGTTTGGGGCCAGCCCGTTAGAAAGAACATCTTCCCCTTCATTAAAGTCCCAGCGCTCCTTTCTGCCTCGAGAGCAAGTGGGTGCGCCCCCACAGAGCTGTCGGAGCTGGGGGTGAACACTTCCCTCGTCCCGGTGGGCCCTGGAGAAGGATGTCCCCGGAGTCATGTTGGACACAACTCGCCCAGGCGCTGGTGCTGAACTGAGGGCTCCCAAACCCCCAAAATGATCGGAGTGAGGGGCGAGCGAGACCTGCCGGAGGCCGATAAGTCAAGAACCGCGCGCGTTTTACGCCTCTGCGCTCACTGAAAGCTTCGTGTCTCGCCTCTTTTCCCAGGTATTAAGTTCCCGCAGCCAGAAGAAGCGTAAGGAAGAAGAACTCACGTCTTTTCCCAACTACTGTACAGGACGAAACAGTACAAGCTTCCCAAGTCAGAGCTGGACTTGCTCACATAGTAGACAGTGTGTTAGGTTATTTATTTATTAAACTAGAATACTGTACACGCGGCCTCTGCCAATGGTGTTTTTTACTGCCATGGGACTGTGAGACGGTTGATTTTTTATTTTTTTCTGCTCTTTTATTTTTGGTCGGGGCGGGCGGGGAGGTGGAGGAAGCAAGTCGGAGGCAAAAAGGAAGGCTGGTTGAGTGAATTCGCTGCAAAGCCTCTGTCAGCTTCAAGTAACAAGCGATCGCTGTCCCCACACTGGCATACGCAGGTGTGGAGGGAAGCGGGTGAGACGTTACTCTGGGTTCCCGTTTTCTGCGCGGAAGCAAAATCCACGGCAGTCGCAAGAACCAGGCCTCAGTGCGCAGGGCCGGTTGGGGGGCTCCGCTCTTTACTTCTCCCACCGTTTGAAACCCAGACTAGCACCGCCTCGTTGGCTCTCGCTCTTGCTGGAGGGGTGCTGCCGTCTTCGTGCCTCTCCCGGCGGCTCCCCAGGGTAGCGCTCTCCTTTCGTTCTGCTGGTCCGGCAAGGGGGCGGCTCTGACCACGAGCCCCAGCACTGCCAGAAGCTGCAGTCCAGGGGTTCAGTTGACAGCCCGAGCTGGGGACGCCCCTGCCCAGAATCGGGAGCCAGCAAGGCAGAGACGAGCCCGCTCTCAAGCAGTCCCTCTAGGGTTCCCGTCCATGGAGCACAAGACCCACCGATGCACCCTCTCAGCCGCTTTGCGGTACTTCTCTGCAGCTTACGACCAGTGCCACACTTCCACCAAAGGGATCTCCCTCCTGGGCCGCGGCGTGGGGCCTCGAGCTGTCTCGTGGGAGAGCCTTGCTGCTCTGTTGACAAGCGCTGCCTCCATCTCGGGGTCAGCCTTGGGGACGACACCCCCTGAGCGCAGTCTTCTCGCTGCCGTGGAGGGAGGCGGCAACGTTGATCGTGTCCAAGGACGGTTCTTGATGCTACGGATCCTTCTCCAGTCGGTATTTCAGCCCTCGCCTGGAGTCCTTGCCGTGTACAGCGACACCCATTTAACAGAAACGCTTCCCAGACTCCCAGCGCTGGATCTGCCAGCGCCTTCTTTCCATAGTTCATCGCTGAACGAATTCTGGAAAACCTGTTTTGGTTATGAGAGCACCAAGCCCCAGCACAATTACTACACTACGGTCTCTGGCTTGAGAATTAGGTTTTCAGCTCAATCGCTGTCACATTTATGAGACATTGAGTCTCGAGGTGGGAGGGTCATGGAAGACAAGGCTGCCATCGTCGCTTGTTCTGGCAGAGATGTCCTGCCTGGATAGTACGTACGATGCACCCAGACGCACGCCCCGCAAGATCACTGTTCAAATGGCCGTGTCTCATCGTACCGATCATCCTGAGGACATCGTTCCTCGTATCAGAGCTGCGAGAACTTCAGCCGGCGCTTGCCAAACCTCCACGAGAAGCACTGACCTGAGCACCCAGGCCTTTATTCAATGCCCTCCACCATGGTATCTGAGCCTCTCATCAGAGGAAGCTCTCTGAGTCCTCAGCCTTCCTGAAAGAGGTTTCTGTGGTATTTTCTTCATGCACAAAACCCCCCCAATGAACTGTGGTCTTACCTGCAGGTTGTAGGACTGTCGCTCCTAGAGATGACGACTGCTTCCTAGGCTGGCTCATCCCGCATCAGGATTGCTCCCTACAGCAAACTTGCCTCTTTTGCTTTTCAGTAAAACCTCAAAAAACCCACGTGATGGAGCTTTCCTTCTAACGTGCTGTCGGAAACGCTCGGCAGCCACGCGTATGGGACTCACGGCAGAACGATCAGCGATCGGGACGTTCCCTGAATCTTCTCTTCCTGGCAAATTATACTTGGATCGTAACATTTTTAGAAAGAGATCACCTGAAGTGTTTTCCTAAGGCAGGTTGGCCATATTCCATCACGCTGGTTGAGTTGTCCAGTCTATAGGGACCCGACTTCGTTACAAGACTCATCCGTTTGGTGTGTTTGTAAACGTGGGCTGAAATCTCGGTCCCCTGGGCCATCAGGGGCAGGCCTTCTGTTGTCTCCATGGGAGCCAGGATTTCACCCTTAGGCTGCATGCTTTGGGGGGCAAAAGGCCCACAGACCGACCCACCCGTGTCGCTCTTCAAGATCCTGGCATGTAGCAGCTGCCCGAGCGGCCAAGGAGAAAGGGACAGACCTAGAAGGGGAGCATGTCCCAGCAGTGCAACACGCCGGTCGCAGCGCAGTATCCCAACAGCCAGGGACCGGGGAACACGAACTCACATCCGATGTAGCTTAGACCATGGTCTTGTCTTGGGTCTGACATGGAGCCAGCGTCCGGGTCTGACGGCGCATCCACACATCCAACACGGTCACCTGCTCTTTATCTCGCGGGGCTACGTCGGGCGTGTGACACTGCTTGTTCAATGGGTGTTGGCTTTCGGCCCCGGTCTGCCTCTGCTCTGCGGGTCAACTTCTCACCGCTCGGGCTCGGGGTCAGTTAAGGAGCAATATGGTATTTCTGCAGCTACCATTGCCTGCTGCCTCAGCCTCCCCAGGTGGGTGTCACGGCGCTCGTGTGAAATCCCAGCCTTGGCTAAAACGGCTGACGCTGCTCTTCTCCCAGCACGCTCTCATCTGTGTTGGGCACGCGTGTCCCAGACTGGGATAAAGACTGAGGCCCTTGGCTTTGCGGCAGCATGGCTGGCAGGGTTTGGGGCTGGCAGTGCATCTCACGTGGCCTGGAGCCCAGGGCACCCCACGGCCTGGCTCGTGAGCAGTCTCCCGTTGTGGGCAGCGGGCATCTGCTGTGCTGGCCGCACTTGGCACCAACTGAGCATGTGGCAACAGCTGATCTGCCTGAGAGCTGGTCTTTCACGCCAGCGCAGCGGGACCGCCAGGCACCCGCTACCTTATTCGTGGCACTGGGGACGCCGGCCAGCCATGTCGTCTCTGGAGCAGAGCCGTGGGGGAGGGCAGCGGTGGGTCGCATCGGTCACGGCGGGAGAAGTAGGGTCCAAAGGCGGGCTGGTTCTGTCCCGGAGGAGATAGCGGTCCCATCCCCGCAGCTGAGGACGGTCCCTTCCCTGGTCCACGTCCGTCGCTAGTGTGGCCCGTGGTGGGGCTGTCCTCCCCGGAGAGTCTGTGCTGATTTTAAATCTATTTTATCTTCTGTGTAGATACAAGAAGGAAAAAATTAATGAATTAATAACGACACCAAATACTCCTAAATGACTTCTTTCCCCTTGAATCTTTTTAAAAACTTTCTCTGTGTGATTCCGCTTTTCCGTAAGCTTTTCCGCCTGCTTGGCTTCGGATCAATCTGGGATCCTCCTCTCAGAGTTGTCCCTGGGGGGTTTCTTTGGGTTTCTTTTCTTTTTTTTTTAATGTAACAAATTAAAAAAGAAAAAAAAAAAGAAGGGGAGGGGGGGAAGGAGAGCGGAGACACCAGCACGATGATCTGAGGAGGAGAATTCGGTTGTTGAACTTTAGAAACCAGGACAAAAATGAAATAATCTGTCACATCTACAGTCGGTGACGACATTGCTAAGCGTAACCTTTTCAAACGGATGTTTTAAATATTCATGTCTGAGTGATTGTATTAGAGCAGCAATAAAGACTCTGTAATCTCAAAACGCCAATAAAGCGTCGGAAAAGTGGCTGGTGCCTGGGCTGTGTTCACCGTGCACAGACAGCGGTGGGACCGTGGCTGGTGTCTGCCCCGGGCAGTTGAGCGCTAAAGAGGAGCCAAAAACTAGGGCCGAGAGGTGGGAACGGCAAGGGCGGCGCGGTCCCGGGGCAGCCGGACGTCACATCCGAGTCAACCCTGGGGCATGACGAGACTCCAGCCCCGCTCCCCTCATCCCCTGTCCGGGCAGGGGGGGCAGAGCTGACTGTCTTGGCAGTTCCCGTGTCGGGGTGGCGGCTCCGTGTCCCCCCGGCAGGTTCTCACTTTCTCTGCCCTGAGCGCCTCTCCCCATCCAGGCCCGGCACTGGGGGGCAGAAGGGAACCTAATGGGCAGTGACTTGGCAGCAATCTGTGCCGCCCGGGGCGCTGGCAGCCTTGGCTGCGGCCTGGGGGATCCTTTGCTGGGGAGTCTCCTGCTCCGGCCTGCCCAGGCTAGAAGGAGACGTCTCGTTTGACACGGGACTGGCTTTTCCCAAGTTTGACCCGGATCGGCACGGCCATCTACACCCCCACCCGCGCTGCTGCTCCTCCGCCAGCAGGGGGAGCGAGCGTGCAGCCTGGCCAGCTGTTGGGGCTGGGGACTGGGGAGGCCACCCTGCAGCGCAGTGCCGCGAGTGACACGAGCAGTGTCTGCGCGGCACGGGGGAGGTGAGGGAGGGAGCAGGGAACAGAGCAGCAGACCAGGCAGGGAGCACAGAGATCAGCGGCCAAAAAGGTTGCCCTTCCTCCCTCCACCCCCTCTATTAGGGACTGACCCGGGCCAGCCCAGCTCCATCCCGGGGAAGCATTAGCGCCTTTTATTGTGGGCAGGGGAGGGACCAGACGCCTCTGCCCATAGGGTTGCGAGACCAGAGGCAGCTCCTGGCTCCAGCGCCGTGGGGGCAGCTGGAAACCGTGCCCAACACCAGTGTGGCCTTCCCCGGCCCCGCCTGGACAGTCCCGTTCACCGCTCCTGTCCGCAGCGGGGCAGCGAGGGCAGCTGGGAGGAGGAAGCACCAGTGGGGATGCCCGGAGCCCCCCAGTGCTACAGGAGTGGGGGGTCTGCGCGGGGGCGGTGGCACTGTGGCCTGGCGCTGGGGACCAGGCGTGGAGGGAGGTG